ACCCACGGCGGCCGGGGGGGAGGGCCGCGGCGGCGCGTGCGGTGGGGGGGCGCGGGCCGGCGCCGCCCGTCGGTTCCGCGCGTCGTTCTCGCCGGGACCCCAAGGCTCGCGTGTCGGTCCTGCGGGGGAAGTGGGTTCAAGGCCTGGGGTTCCGAGGCGGAGGAGCGGGGCGCGGGCGGTGTCTCAGCCCGGCGGGGCGGAAGGCCGGGACGAGCGCTGTCCAGGGGCTGGACGTCGGGGCCCTGGCGCGGCGCAGAGGCGCGCAGGTCGGGCCGGGGCTGCGTGTTCTCGCCAGGCGGTGCCGGGTCCCGGCCTCTCCAGACCTCCCCTCATCCCAGGCGGGGTCCCCTCCTGCGGGAGGCACACGCAGGCACCGTAGATCCCCCGGCCGCTCCCGCCAACTTTGTTCTATCCCCACACATGGTTCCACTCTGGGACCTCCTGCCCCTTAGGGAGCTGCATGAGGGGCGGGCAGACAAGGGGGGAGGGTGGGAGAAGGGCGGAAGTGGCAATACCCAGAGCAACAGGAAATGACTTAGGGAAAGTCCCAACCGCGGCCCCCCAACCCCCTGCCTGTAAACACCCCCATCCTGCAGGCTGGAGGAGGGCTCGTGGGGCCCCACTGACTGACTTCCCCTTGCAGAACCCAGTCGGCTCCGCGTCGCCACCCGGGCCTCCAGCACTTCCAACGAGCCATGTTCCAGGCTGCAGGAGCCGCCCAGGCCGCCCCCTCTCATGTAGGTTACCAGCCAGGTGGGAGGGGTAGAGGGCAGAGGAGCAGCTTGTTTGCCTGGCATCCTTTACCATCTCTTGAGTGCTTCTGAGATCTGGGCTGAGCCACCTGAGAGCTGCCCCTGCCCTAACTGCCCATCTCTCTCAGGAAGCCAAAAGCAGCGGTGGGAGCAGCACAGTGCAGCGCTCCAAGGTAGGGCCCCAGCCGTGGTCGGGAGTGGAGGAAAGGGTGGGTGCTGGTGCGGCCTGTTGCTGAGTGTACCTACCCTCGTCCCATAGTCCTTCAGCCTGCGGGCTCAGGTGAAGGAGACCTGCGCAGCCTGCCAGAAGACCGTGTACCCCATGGAGCGGCTGGTGGCAGACAAGCTCATTTTCCACAACTCTTGTTTCTGTTGCAAGCACTGCCACACCAAGCTCAGGTGCGCCCCTGCCTTGCCCACCTGCCCGCCCTACCCTGCCTTCCAGTTCTGACCCAGACTGACCCAGCTGTTCTGCTTCCGCAGCCTGGGCAGCTACGCGGCACTGCACGGTGAATTTTACTGCAAACCCCACTTCCAACAGCTGTTTAAGAGCAAAGGCAACTACGATGAAGGCTTTGGCCGTAAACAGCACAAAGAGCTCTGGGCCCACAAGGAGGTGGACTCGGGCACCAAGACGTCCTGAGGTCCCTCTATCTGTCCACTCCCTCCGCACAGGGCCTAGAGCTGGCCAGTGGGAAGGAGTTCTAGAGCTGGGCTTGTAGAGGGAAGGGGTGGGGAAGGATGAAGCCTCTCAGGCAGGTTTCAGACATGCAGCTCTGCTCCAGGATTCCTTCTCCCTTCGACGGTGGGGATTTGAGAACCAGGATTGGGGTTTGCTCAGCACCCTGTTTTCCTTCAGCCAACCCCACCTCATCCCATGGCCCCCTGGGAGGCCCACAAGCCCAGCTTCCATATCTAGGTGCCTTTTCTCCAGCCAGGAGTCAGCATGCCCTCCTCAGGGTCCCAAGCTCCCTCACTGCCACCTGGGCCTGTGTGTCCCCCATGTCTCTCCATCTACCTCCACCCTTAGCCTGGTCCTGAGCCACAGAGACTGGAAGAGGGAGAGTACCACCTGCTGGGCCTCATAGATGCCACTGTGCTGGTGGGGGTGGGGAAGTGACAAGACAGGGCCTGCAGCCTTGGATTTTGAGCCCCTTGCACCACAAAGCTAAAGCTCTTGCCAGGCTAGAGCCTCATCTGCTGATGGGGTCGGCAGCAGCCATTCTCCTCTCTTCATTGTTTTGCTGTTCTGTTGTGATCAACCCTGTTTTAAACATGTTTAAACAGATCTTGACTCTTTATTATGTGGCCTGATGGGGGGCTCTGTGGTAGTAAGGCTGCAGATGCACCAGAGATGGGAAAGGGGGGCAGGCGACCCTTAATACTCCTGGCCTTGAAGAGGGTGGGTGATGGTCATCAGAAATACTAGCCAGCTTGAAAATATGGGGTGTTCTAAGTTAGGCATGGAAGTGCAGGCCTGTAATCCCAGCACTCAGAAGGCAGAGGCAAGAGGATCTCTGTGAGTTCAAGGTCAGCCTGGTCTTATAGCAAATGCCAGGCCAGGTGGCATTACAGGGAGACCCTGTCTCAAAAAATACCAAAAGAGCCGGGCATGGTGGTGCACACCTTTAATCCCAGCACTCAGGAGGCAGAGGCAGGCAGATCTCTGTGAGTTCAAGGCCAGCCTGGTCTACATAGTTCCAGGACAGCTGGAGCTGCAGGGAGACCCTGTCTCAAAAAGAACCCCCCCCCAAAAAAACACCAAAAGAAAAAAAATGGAGTGCTCTTGTCAAGTCAGGGTGTTATGCTGTCAAACCCAGAATAGTTCTATAACTAGAAACCCACTCTGTCCTTCAGCTTTGGGTGGTTGAAGACAACCCTAGACCCAAGGCCTCACATCCACACTGCAGTTCTTTGAAGGAGACTTTACCTCACTGAGCTTCAGTAGAGTGCAAAACAGAACTCTTCAGCCTTTGGCCAAGTTCTTGTTGACAGGCTTTCTGCTAGTTGATCCCAGCTGTCCAGTTTCCTTCTAGCCCTCAGCCCTGGACATTTGCAAGGAATGGTGGGAATTCACAGACCCAGCAAATGCTGTCAAAGGTTTTAGAGATTACGGCCTTTCCCTCTTATTGCTGTCATCTTCCCTGAGCCTCTTCTGGGGAAGTAGGGAAATCACAGCCACTGTTCCAGGTCATCCAGGGACAGACTTTGCTCCCCTGAGAGCCCATGCACACTGAGGAATGACAGTTAACAGTAGAGAAACAAGGAAAGTGTGGAGGACCACAGCCTTTGTGTGAAAGTCTGAGCTGTGTTGCCCTGATTTCTACAGACTCCTATGGGATATGAATGGGTGAGCAAGAGGCAAAGACTCCCAGGGAATTGGGCCTCTAGTCCTGCTGGCAGATGAATCACTGTGCATTGCTCCTTTAGTGGGCACTCAGTAAGCTGGGAGAACACTCAAAGCCTGGGGCCCTTGGAGCAGAACTACTCAGAACCTCAGGGAAGACCCAAGTCTATACTAGAGGTCTCTGGGGTGAAGTTAGTCTCTTGCTGCAGTTAAGCAACAGTGGCAAGTGGGACAGATAGGCTGCCTCAGCCTCTGGACAAGGAAGACCATACTGGATGCTCTGAAAGGTTCCAGGAATCCAGCCATTCATTTGTTCTGAAGGCTAACAGTGTTGCCTCTGGAGCAGTAGGATGACTAAAGAGGGACCACCTAGGCTAACAGCGGTACCCAGCCAAGTCATACCAGGATCCCTATTTTTTTTTTTTTTTTTTGGTCTTTTTGCGACAGGGTCTCCCTGTAGCCCCAGCTGTCCTGGAACTCACTATGTGGACCAGGCTGGCCTTGAACTCACAGAGATTTGCCTCCCTCTGCCTCCCGAGTGCTGGGTTTAAAGGTGTGTGCCACCTTTAATCGGCCAGGATCCCTATTTCGGTAATCTATTTAAAGGGTCCCAGCTTGTTGCTAGGCACTGTACCCAGCCCCTCCCAAGAACACATTTCCACCCTCAACCTCAAAGCATGGCCACAGGACCCCTCTGATATAAATGATCCCTTTTATTGTAAGTAATGCATGACACTGGCCTGGCTTTGCACTGCAAGCCCTCGGTCAAGATATAGTCAAATAACTATGGCTGCAGGTTCTTCTGCACAATCCACAGACACAGATACAGGGCTGGGTGGGTGGGAGGGGCAGGAGGGTGGCAGCTCGGAATCTGACCCAGGCCTGGCCCTTCCATGTGGGGTTGGCCTAAGGAATGATGCATGGCCTCTTCCCACAGCAAGCTGCTAGGAAACTGCCCTTTAGAGCAGTTTGGGCCTAGGCCATCCCTAGAGCCCCATAACTTTTCATTTGGATTTGTTAGTAAAAAAAAAATAATAATAAATTAAATTAAACAGCTTGGTCCTGAGGATGCTGAGCCAGGATGTCCACAGATTTTGGCACAAAAACCCAGGGTCTTTTGTTTTTTCCCCTTTGGAGTAGTTTGTTGGCTTACTTTTAAATTCATTTAAAAAACATTCCCTGTGAAGTAAGACCCCAGAGGTAAGGCTCTGTGAGAGCTTGAACCTGGGACAAGCAGAGTCGTCTCATCTGACATCTTGTCAGTTCACCAAGCTCTGTTTCCTCTTGAGGCATGGGGACTGGGGATGTGGTTGGGGTAGGCTAGGTAGAATGCTGCAGCCGTCAGGATGGGGTCATGGAGAGGCCGAGCTGCCTTTTGGCAGCTTTGGTCGAAAAGAGGGGCCTGTCCCTACCCTGGGCAAAGGCCGAAGTGGAACTAGGATTTTGTGCTCACTGGCCTTGGAGCAGTGAGAGGGTGGGCTGACAAGCCCCTGAAGGAAAAGGGATGGAACAGAGGCCCAGACCCAATTGGCACCGTGCAACACGCATACCTGCAAAACCAGCTGCTTTCAATTTCTGTTCTCTCTTCAGGAGTCCATCACTGGTAACAGTCTAGCATTGATATATATAAAAAACCATCAAATATGGATCTGAGATATAAATTAACAAGTACAAGGCCTCACATTACATGATGTGAAAAGGCTAAAAACAGCGATAGAAACTACATTCATAAAAGTGCATCGTCAACATACAACGAAGGCTTTGGCTTGTTCTGTGCCCATGGGAAGTGAGCATGGCTGGCAGTGAGCTGCCTGGCACTAATCCCCAGCTCCCTGGAGACACCCATCCCTGGGCACTGGCTTTTTGTTTGTTTTTGTTTTTCCTTTAATGGCAACTCCCAAGGAAACTGGGAGTTGGAAGGGAGGAGCTCTAGCAATAGGCACATTTTGAAGGGGAGGGGAGGGGCCGGAAGAAAGGACCAGCGCCCAGGCTGAGGTAAATACAGCCAACTCTTAAGCTGCTTGGAGATACTGTTTCCCCAACCTGTTGGCATCCTCCCCCAGGGGAGGAGCAAGAGGGGAATGAGGCTGAGAACACAGAACTGGGCAAGACAGGCTAAAGAACAGAGCTGGTGTTTTTGGACATGGATGGTGGCAGCACATGACTACTCTCTACCAGACGGGAGTGGGCTCAGGCCTAACAGGATTTCAACTCAAGACAGCCTGAGACAATGTCTTGGGCTCTCCTGAACTGCCCAAATGGGGCCAGAGCCAGGTACCCTTATTATGTTGCCCATCTTCCTCTCTGCTCCAGTGGGGGTACAGATGCTAGGCCAGAAGCAGAGGCCATCCCATCAGCTCTTTCCATTCCAGCCCAATGCTCAAGCCCACATGGGTCCTCAGAGCCCAGAGGGCAGTCTCCAGTTTAGAAACTGGGAACAGTATAAGAGTGACTCCAACTTGTAAAACAGATAATTGCATTGACAACACTGGGTCTTCCCCTCAGTGGAGGCAGTTCTGTATATCAGGCCCCTGTTGGGGGGTGGAGAGAGGCTCCTTCCCAGAATAAGGCAGCATGACATTTGCTTCATTCATCTTTGGTAAAGGATAAGGACTGGAAAGCACACCTGGGGGCTTCTAGATGAGGAGAGCCAAGGCCTCTACCTTCTGTTGGTTGGAGGATACTGGGCTTTACCTCAGGCTTGAGTGGGCTCAACCAGCCCAGAGACACCATGGTGGTCTCCAGACACTGAGAGGAAAAACAAAATAACACTCTGAATCAAATAACACTATTCATCCCCTTGAGTCAGTCCTGTGCCCCCGTCCCTCTGGGCTTCAGTGCTGACTGCAGTATTAGGGCACATCTGAGGGCAAGGCCCACGGCTGCCTTGTATACTGTTCTCAACCCCTTTCCCTCCACACTGAGCTTTAGATGCTGCAACTCTTGGGTCTGACAGGCTGGGGGCTCCCAGTCTTGAGGCTACAGCCATTCCATCCTGGTTTTGAGCCCCAGTGGCAGAAAGGGCACAAACACTGGCTGGACTGCAACTCCCCTGTCCACAGCCTTGCCTGGAAGCAGCAGCAACTTCACTGAGCCAGACAACAGCTCCTTGCCTGCTCAGCAGGTGGCCTTGAGAGCTCAGTACACGAGCTGTGCAAAGTGGTGTGTGAGCAGCTCCTCAGCTGAAGGCCTCTGACGAGCCTCCACAAAAATACGCCTCAGGAAGTCCCTGCCATGTTCAGAGATGTGAGAAGGCAGCTGAGGATTGGTGGGCTGGGTAGCAATCTTGAAAATGGCAGCCATAGCTTCATATTCTGCCCATGGTGGTTTCTCTGTCAGCATCTCCACCACAGTGCATCCCAGGCTCCTAAAAGAGAGAGCCATCACCTCTTAGCTAGCTTCAGGCTCACAGCTGCAATACCCGCTGTGGTGGAAGGAGGTATCCTCAGATCAGGTGCAAATGAGCCAAGCTGAGGTTGACACACCCCTTGTATCCCCAAAGCCAGCAAAGACTTTGAAGCACATTCAATCCTTGGACCACGTGACCCTCATCAACTTACACACCACCACTCACCTGAGTACTTTTTTTTTGGTGAAGTGGGGAAGGCTGTCCTGGAATTAGTAATCCCTTGCCCTCAGCCTCTACACTGTTAGGATTACAGGCATGTGCTACCATTCCTGGCTGTTACCTGGGTACTTACTGAGATTGGGAAAGAGTACTGATAGATTTCAAGGTTACCTGTATTAGTTTCCTGTTGGTCAAATAGTTCCTATTTCCTTGCTTTTCCAGCTTCTAGAGGCTAGCTGCATTTCTTCCTGTCTCTGTCTCTCTCAAGCTAGAGACTAAACCCAGGGCCTTGTGCTTGTAATACTATTGAGCCAATAGCTTTCCCCAGCCCTGCCTGTGTTTCTTGACTTTTGGTCTCTCCATCTTTGAATGGCTTAGTCTAAGCTGTACCTCCATAGCCAAATCCTCCCACTACCTACTCTGACCTGCCTTTCTTTCAAACGACCCATTATTACCCAGACCCTAGATAATTCAGGATAACATTTCCATCTCAAAGTCTTTAGTCATAGTTACAAAGGCCCTGCTGCCATATAGGTTTTGACAATTAGGATTTAGACATCTTTGGGGGACTACCCACATTAACTTTCCAAGGAGAGTTCATGTGTATGTGTGTGTGTGTTTGTGTTGCATGCACTTGAGTGCACCCATATGTGCACATGTAGGGGCCAGAGCAGGACGCTGGTTGTCTTCTATATGGCTCTCCACCTTACTGCCTCATTGAAATAAAAGCTCACTGCTTTGGTTAGACTGACTGACTAGCAAGCTCTCAGGATCCACCTGTCTCTGCCTTGCAATGTGGGATTGCAGGCATGCGCAGCCATGCCTAGGATTTTATGAGGGAGCTGGGTATTTGAACTCAGGTCCTCATGCTTGCAAAGCAAATGTTCTTACCCGGAACCATCCTCCCAGCCACAAACCTGCTTCTTAAAGAGGTTCAGCAAACATGAGGCCACACACATACACACATGGCCTAAGCCCCCAGTAATAACGGGTTATTTGGGATAAAAATTCATTCCATTTGTCATACACAGTACTACAACGCACCACCACCCCTCACACCTATGTGGAGTCTGGGCTCTGGATGCACCAGCCAGCAAGAGGCGAGTCCTGGGATTGGAGAGGTGGCTTGACAGTTAAGAACACTGGCTGCTCTTGCAGAAGACTCACATTCGGTTCCCAGCACCCACATGGCAGCTAACAACCATCCATAATTGCAGTTCCAGGGGATCTGACACCTTCTTCTGACCTCTGGACACTGCACAACACTGTGTACTTATATACAGATAATATACTCATACACAAAAAATAAATTTTTTAAAAAATTAAAAAATAAAAGTGAGTCCTCAGCCCTCTTTGCCAAACTGTAAAGTTCCCAAGGTCATCTGTAACTATCTTAAGAGACCCTTCAGCTCAGGCAGGGAGATAGGTTCCTGGCACCAGTGCTCACCATACATCTGCCTTCCTTCCGTAGCCCTCACCGCTGATGACTTCAGGGCTCATCCAGTAGGGTGTGCCAGTGACAGAGCGCATGCCTGTCCCCGACATGCAGATGGTCTGTAGGCGTTTGCTGGCCCCAAAATCCCCAAGCTTCACATTCCCAGCTGAGTCTCGGAGGATATTGGCTCCTAAGGCATCAAAGGACAGAGGTACACTTTGGATCCTCTTAGATTTTCTACTCTCTCCCCTTCCAAGTGACTGAGAACTGGTGGGAAGGCCAGAGTCACCACTGATTTAAGATATGAGCTGCACACTGCAGATAGGACAGTGAAAGGAGGCTTTGGAACTACAGTACAGAAAGAACTACCCCAACATTTGTACTTTGGGGTATTTTTCCCCATTTTTCAACCAATTTTCACATCAATCTCCAATTGAGGAAATGGCTGGGGTCCCATATTTCAGAAAGGTGAGAATGGTTAAGCTACTAATTGGTAGCCTTGAACCTAGGTCTTGATGACTCCACCCCAGCTTGACCCCCTACTCACCCTTGATGTCCCGATGCACAATCATGTTGCTATGCAGGTATGACATGCCCTCCAGGATCTGCCGGGTATACTTGCGGGTCACACTCTCTGTCAGAGCTCCATAGGCCTTCAGTTGGTCTTTGACAGATCCCTAGCCAGCCACAAGGAATCAAGAGAGAGTCCCCTCAAGGGCTGGTTGTGGGAGGGGACAAGGCTTTTTCCAGCCCCAGCACCATAGCAAAGCAGTGATTCATTGGAGTTTCACTTGCCTGTATGAGTCATTTTTGCGATGAGCTGGTAGACAGCTTAGAGAATAGTATGAAACAGTCCTTACCCAGAGGGAGCTTCTCTGCTCCAGGTAAAGTTGTGCTTACTGGACTTAGACCAGCCCTCATAGCCCTCAAATTAGATCGAATCTGCAATATTTCTCATCTCACATATTCTCTGCAGTCACAGGCAGGGCCCTCTTAACTTCAAGTCCTGCCATCACTTTACCTGGTTTCCTGGAGCCTTATAGGATCTGACCCAGGTCAAGGGTGATCCACCCCCACAGCTCTAGGCCTAGATCAAGCCCTTTTGTATGAACTTTGCATGCATCCAAAGGGCACATACCCCTGGCATATACTCCATGAAGATGGTCAGGATCTTCTCAGCACGGTCCCGTAGACAACCGTAGTACTGTACAATGCGCTCATGTTGCAAGTTCTTCAGCAACTGTATCTCACACTCCAGAGCACTCACCTCCTAGGGAGGGATCAGTGGTAACCTGGCACTCAGGGCCCCAGGTCTGCCCACCTGAGATCAGCTTAGCTTGCCCTAGTTTGTACTTCACTGGGGTCTGCCTTGGGAACTTCTGTTGGAAAACAGAGGATTCTCAATGTCTGGCCATGGGCCACAATGCTGGGCTGCCCTTGGGATGCAGCAGCACTCCTGGCCTAGAAGAAGGCAAACAGGAAGGAGGGAGGGGCTACAGAAGCTTAATTAAGGTAACTACTGTTATTTGTCCACTCAAACTGAGTTGTAGACCACATGACTCTTCCTCCTAAAGGACCAAGTGGGTGAATCCCATAGCTTCTTCCTGGGCCAAGGCTCTGTGTAGGGGATGGCTGCAGAATGCCCTTTGGGTAATTGGTCATCACATCTCAGTTTGGGCTGTCAGTGACTTTGGCATGGGTGCAATCCTTCCCCTAGCTGCTCCATGGGCCATTGTCCCTTCACCCCACATCCAGAGCTAGGATGGACAGTGAGGGAGCTTGGGAGGAAGCATTATAGGGAGACAACCTGTGGTACTTCAAGCAAATGCTCTGCAATAAGACAGGCATTCTGTTTGGAAGGAGAGAACAGGCAGTCAGCATGGGGAAGAATTACCTTGCTGGTCTCAGGACTATCCGGGTCAAACTGAACCTGCTTGGAAGCAAGTTCACGTCCCGTATCCACGTCATAGCACAAGTAGACCCTGCCAAAGGCACCCTGACCCAGGAGCTTCCCCCGGCGCCAATTGATGGGAGCACTGGGAGCTATGGGAGAAATAGCAAAAAAGAATGTTACATCATGAACTTTCTTTATGAGACCCCTCCTGAATTCTACAGGCAATCACAGGACCCCTTGCCTAGACTCCCTTATACTCAGTACCCTCTCTCAGAATAGCATCTCCACCCCATCTGGAGCAGGCCCAAGCCCTAGGTCAATAGGACATGAAGGACAGGGTTCTGAGAAGCAAAGGACTGGTAAAATGTTCTTTTGTATTCATCAAACAACTCTACTTTCAAAGCTTCAAAATATGTTTGTTTGTTCATTATGTTTTTGAGATAAGGTCTCAGTATAGCATAGCATAGACTGGCCTTGAACTCACTACATAACTCAAGCTGGCCTCAAACTTTTAATCTTCCTGCTTCAGCTTACTGAGTACTGAGATTACCGGCATGCACTAGGCATGCCTAGATTGCTCCTAAATATCCAAATATGGCAGGGAATGAGGGTGTGCCTTTAAACATGAACAAACTAAAGACTAGAGAGAAGAAATGGCTTGTCACACAGCTGTAGAGTCAGGCCTACATTTTAGCGTATGTTGCTCCCTTCAAGGCTCTCCCAGAGTCAGGAGGACAGGACCAGAGCAGCCTACCATCGATCCAAGGCATCACAATGACACAACTGATCTCTTGCCCCTGAAGCTTGTCTTAGCACTGGTAGCTTCTAAGGAGAAAAGCAGAGCCTAGAGCCAGGGACAGTCCTCACACTTGGTTGGCACATTCCTCTCCTGCACAGAGAGGGCATTCTCGCTGTCTGCACTCCGTAGGCGCCGAGGGTCCAGGTATTGCCCAGCTAGGCCCATGTTCTCGCCATTTGTGCTCAAGGAGCGGCTAGAGGGCACCAGAGTGAATAAGTTGCCTTGATGTCGCCGTATTCGAGGAAATGTTCTTCTGCCTGAAAGGATGCAGGGGTCAGATAGAACAAGTCAGGGCCCCAGCCACAAACCCAAATGTGCAAACCAGAAATTCAAGTACATCTCATTTGCCCTCCCATCTGACTCATCCCAGAAAGGTGAGTGTCCCAGTTCCCTAAGATAAATTAGGAAGTAGCCTGGTTCAGGGAGCTCTGGACACAGGGAAGGCTCAGACTGATCCTCAGACCCAACACAGGGGCAACCCACAGTTCAAGTCCATTCTGTTTGGCATCTACTCCTAATCTCTCTGCCACAGCTTCAGTCCATCTGCTGCTACTGCAGAAGATGGCATTAGAGAGGGGGCACTCTGGAACACATATACTCGAAGGAAGGAGTTCCCAGTGGCAACATCTTGATCTATCAGTATCATCCACTCTCTATAATTAGTTGCTTGTCTCTTTTCCCTCAAGTCTAGGGTACAACTTCCCCAGGAAAAAGGAGAAAAGCAGAGCCTAGAGCACCTGGTTCCCTCAATCCCTAACCCCCCCTTTTGTGATAGCTTTTTCTTTTCCCTGCAAAGAGTTGTCCTTCCTCCAGCCAGCCAATGGGGGGCAGTGTGGAGGTGCACTCACCATCATTATAGTCTTTGTGATGCACAGACACGTGGTAGCGCCGGGGATAGGTTCCGCCTTTGACCCCTTTTTCATAGAGCTGGGTCTCCCGATCTGAATAATGCATGAAAGTTACTAGCTTTTAGGTAGGTCAATATGAATATGCCATTTAAGCTTCTAGGTCTTTGAGACCTTAAGAGTAGCAATCCCAAGAGTCCCAAGAGAATTATCACACAGTTCTGGCTTTCCAATTCAGAGCCACCTGTGTTCCCAACCAGGCACTCTTCCCTACTCCCCTGCAGGGCCAACCTAGGATCTATGGAACTCACCTGAGTATTCTTGTCTATTGTCTGGAAAGCTTTGGGCTCGGGACATATGCGATTTCCGGAAAGACGGGCTAGAAAAAACAAAAAACAAAATAGACTTCTAGTAACCAGAGGGCAGAAGGCAGAACATCTAGGTAGTCTCCCCTGCTGTCTCCTGCATGTTCAGTAATGAGAGGAAGACATGGAGGAAAGCAGCTCTTCCTCAAGCCTTGTGCTTTCCACCCTCCCTTTACTAGCATGAGGCCCAAACAGGAGTGATAAATCTTACTATTCTACTGAACTCCACCTTGCTGTTTTCCCCTTTCTATTCTTGGCTCTTTTCCTCATCTATATAGCAGGTGAAGAGCTGCAAAAAAAATCTTGGCCCAGGCAGTCATAACAACATTGCAGTTCATAGAATGCTGCTTTCTTATTTTACAGAGTGATCCATTTCTCATTTCATCCTCACAACTCTATGAGGCAGGAAATATGACAAAAATAATATAATTGCTGATGTCACTGATCACCTGTTGTGCTATTACTAGTTTTCACAGATAGTCTACAGGTTAAGTATAAATGTTCTTATTTATGTGCCTAAGGACATAGCTAGGAAGCAACAGAGGCAAACTCAAGACCAAGTATTTGCCTCTAATCTGTTTGTTTCTATACCAGGCAGCCTGCTTTAGACTACCATCTCAGTGCAGAAATGGGGAAACTGAGGAACTAAGAGGGAAGTGAGTGAACTTAGCTATCTTTCCCAATATCTACTTGAAGCTAAATGGACTTTGACATGCAAATACCACGTGTGTGTGTGTGTGTGAGTGAAATGTAGGTGAACACGTGTACATGTTGAATGTAAAGGTCAGAGGTTGATAACTTGTGTCTTCTTCAATTACTTTCCTCCTGTTTCCACCTCCCCAGTGCTAGGATTACAGATGTGCAATGCTGCACTCAGCTTTGTCACTTGGGTTCTGAGGGATTGAACTCAGGTCCACATGCTTCCAAGACAAGCACTTTATTGATCAAGCCACCTCCCTAGCCATTCAAGTACCTTTTTAGGGGGTCACAAGTCAGAAACTCTGAAGACAGCGATTAAGCTGGGGGGTAGCTGCCCCATACTTTCCAACAACTAGAACACTATCTTCCCTTGACACCTCAAAGTTTAGGTAATAGTCCCAAGCTAGAGTCAGTACCTGTCTTGGATGAGATCTTGGCCTGTGGTAGCACCTCCTGCCAATTTTACTTGTGCCTTTTATGTTTCCTGACTGGAGAGCAAGCCCCAAAGAAAGCTATATATTGGAACTAACAACTATGAATGTATTCTATGACATCTAGAGGAAGACAGTGCTTAATAGTGTGTAATCACATCAGTACATAAACAATTGAGAAGGGCGGGAGGGGAACAGAGGAGAGGACAGAGGAAGAAAGGAGGGAAGAAACCTGCCCTTGCTTCCTAGCCCCAACTCTATTCCTAAATCCAGCCAGAGGTTAGACATAGAGGCTAAGGCCCGCTCCAATACCCTTACCAAACCAGGTATGGCACACAGGAAGGTGAGACAGGACAAATGTGAGTTCTTGACCAGCCTAAGCTATCTAGTGAGAACTTGTCTGAAAATACACAAGGCAAAGCAGAACAAAACACAACAACACAACACCTTGCCACCACTGGGTCAACTGCACTCATTTTGTATATAAAGAACAACACTGATTTCTTCCAGGAGTGTGAAAACAGCAGTCTGCATCAAGCAGGTAATGGTTAAGTTAGGAAATCTGCATATTCTTTTTTTCTGTTTTTTTGTCTTTTTGAGACAGGGTCTCCCTGTAGCCCCAGCTATTCTGGAACTCACTATGTAGACCAGGCTGGCCTTGAACTCACAGAGATTCGTCTGCCTCTGCTGGGATTAAAGGCATGCGCCACCATGCCCGGCAAGAAATCTGCATATTCTAATTTTCATATCCTAATTTCTTATTCCACCAGAAATATTTGGAGAAAAAAATATGAAAGTAAATCCATAGGTAAGAATTCAGTTTTTCCTCCAAACTTGAAAAAGCAGGTGTATCTCAATCCAAATCACAGTGATGAGGTAAGAAAGGAGTACATGTATGTGTGAAGTCAAAGCACACAAAGCACTGAGGACATAGGAAACACTTAATGAACAAGTGGTTTTATTAGCTAGTACGTTTATCATGCAACCAAAACATTCCAGAGTATCTGAGAAACTGAGAGCTTCTCTAGAAGCATAGTGTTGAATCCTGGCCCTGGACTATATCAGATATAGACTAGCCAACTCTACTAGAATCATTCCAAATATGCCTACTCATTAACCCCCAAACCTCCCACAGCTCCATACCTGTCTGCTGACCTGTCCAAGGATTGACAGCTTCCTGACAAAGAATTTTCAGCACTGCTCAGGGGATCCAGCATCTGTAATGCAAACCACATAATAAAACCACAGTTCCAGCCCAATGCCCAGCCAGCTGACCTAGGCTTTATGAAACAGACAGAGCCAGTACATGGTCCTTTTTGTCAAAATACGCAAGTGCCTTTTTCTCCCCATGTAATGCAAGAATGGTTATAAAGTACTATTCTTTCCCTTAGTTTGAAAGGTAAGTTTCTAGGAGGGAGAAAAATGTTTGCCTGGCATTCCAAGGGGTTCTGCCAGCACAGCAAAGTTGCAGCTTCTCTTGTTGGCATTTCCTTGGCTCATCAACATTGGTGCCTGGTGCCTGAGATGGTACTTCCCTGCAAAGGTTTCCAGTGGATCTTAATACTTCTGTTTATACTCCATAATTTATAAAGCCAAGTATTACTTCATTTCACAGATGAACACTCAAGGCCAAGAAAGGTTAGGAGTCATATCTAAACCCATAAAACTAGCTAGTTAGTACACAGTTGGTGCCAGAAAATCAAATTCCTAGTTTCTGGTTCTAAAGCAGAACTAATCGGTATATATGTAAATTAAAATATTTCTCCAGCCTATAGTCAAATGTAGTAACAAAGAGGTTTCAGAATAGAACTGCACCCCAACAAATCTCCTAAATGTATATCCACTTTGTTTTTTTCTAACAGGGTGGTAGTAAGGATAGGAGTGCAACATTCCACATCAGAATACATTTGTCACTCCATAACCATGGGGGATAGTTCCAGGAGTCCTGCAGATAACCAAAATCCACCCATACTCCAGTCTCTTATGTAAAATAATAAAGTATTTGCACGTAACCCACACACATCCACCTGTCCACTTTACATAATCTCTATTACTTATAATAATAATATATAATGTAAATGCTATGGAAATAGTTAAACTACAAAGAACAGTCTATATCTGTTTAGTACAGAAATAATTTTTTTGTTTGAATATTTCCATCCACAATTATTTGAATCTATAGAGTTGGAATCTATGGACACAGAAGACCAACTGCATTCATCATCTCAACTCCAAAGTTAAACATATAGGGAAGCAAAGTATAAAGTTGAAAGGGGCTGGAGAGACAGCTCAGCAGATAAGAGTACTGGCTGCACTTGCAAAGGACTTGGGCTCAGTTCCAGCCCCACAGGCCACCTAACTACTGTCCATAATTCTAGTTCCAGGGAATCAAATGTTTTCTTCTGGTCTCTGTGGGCACTGCATGACACAGGTGCACTTACATACATCAGGAAAAACACTCATACACATAAAGAAATAAAAATTCTAAAATGTTTTTAATTGGGGCTGGAGAGATGGCTCAGCAGTTAAGAACACTGATTGTTCTTGCAGAAGACACAGGTTCGAATCCCAGCACCCACATGGCAGCTAACAACTGTCCATAACTCCAGTTCCATGGGATCCAACAGCTTCTTCTGTCTTCTGCAGGCATTGCACAACATGGGTGCACTTACCTGCAGGTAGGCAATACATGCATGCACATAAAATAAAAATAATAAATAAATACAAAAAAATTTTTTTCTTTTTGAGAAAGGGTCTCACCGTAGTCCCAGCTGACCTGAACTCACTATGTAGACCAGGCTGGCCTTGAACTCACAACGATCCCCCTGCCTCTGCCTCCTGAGTGCTGGGATTAAAGACATGCGCCACCATGCCTGGTGAAAATATTTTTTTAAAAATGTTTTAAATTACAGCCAGGCGTGGTGGCACACGCCTTTAGTCCCAGCACTTGGGAGGCAGAGGCAGGCGATCTCTGAGTTCAAGGCCAGTCTGGTCTACATAGCGAGTTTCAGGCCAGCTGGGGCTACAGGGAGACCCTGTCTCAAAAACAAAAAACAAACAAACAAACAAACAAAACAAACAAAAAAAAGTTTTTAATTATGAAAAGAAGAGGTCTCTTGTTCAGTTCTCAGCATACACATCAGGCCGCTCACAACTAACTTACTGTAACTCCAGGTCCGGGGGATCTGATATTTCTGGCCTCTGTGGGCACAAGTACACACGTGCACAAACCTACACAAAGACCCACAATTAAAAATAATAAAATAGGCGGGGTGTGGTGGCACACGCCTTTAGTCCCAGCACTGGGGAGGCAGAGGCAGGCGGGTCTCTGAGTTCAAGGCCAGCCTGGTCTACATAGTGAGTTCCAGGACAGCTGGGGCTACAGGGAGACCCTGCCTCAAAAAGACAAAAAAAAAAAATAAAAAAATAATAATAATAATAAAATAAGAGGCTGGAGAGATGGCTCAGTGGTTAAGAGTGCTTCCTGCTCTCCCAGAGGCCCTAAGTTCAGATTCTAGCATCTGTGTAGGGCAGCTCACAACTGCCTTGAACTCCAGCTCCAGGGATCCAATGCTCTCTTCCAGCTTCCATGGGCCTCACACAAGTGACATATACTCAAACAGACATAAACATATACACCTACAGTTTTTTGTTTTTGTTTTTTGGTCTTTTTGAGACAGGGTCTCCCTGTAGCCCCAGCTGTCCTGGAACTCACTATGTGGACCAAGCTGGCCTTGAACTCATAGAGATCCGCCTGCCTCTGCCTCCCAAGTGCTGGGATTAAAGGCGTGCGCCACCACGCCTGGCTGCACCTAAATTTTTTTAAAAATTGAAACTTAAAAAACAATCTTTAAAAAAGAGAATTAGGAAATTTCACTAACAAAATTTCATGTAGTCTCTATGTCACATCTTTTCCCATTAACACTAGGCTCCATCCTCATCCATAATTTCAGATGTTTGAGATCATATTGTTACATACTATTTTTTTAAAATCTGCCAACGAAGGCAAATTAATTACAAAGTAAAACTGCAAATCTTGCTAAGGACCCAAAATTTCACATCATGGATGAAACTAACGTGGCAAAGAATTGCTTCTAATTTATGATGTGCAGATTAGGCAATGTTAAACCAGCTAACAGAAAAATAGATAAGTGTAACAACACAAGAGGTTTGATGATGGAGGAAGAATATCAAAAGTTTCAAGAGAGATACTGGAGAAAGTTTGTTGAGTTCTGTGGATGCTTTTGTAAAATATGACCTGTGAGAATGCTGCAAAAGTCAAAGAGGAAAAGTGAAGGAAGTGACATTGTGCTAGCATAATTCCTGTCAGAAAATTAAAGCTAATTAACATGAATCATGATTTGTTCATTCAAAAAAAAATCAAAAAATATGCAATTATGGCCTGAATTTGATTTCCTGAAAGCTTTTCTTTTCAAGAAAGTCCCACTACAAATCTGCCTATGTTGGGTCCTGTGAAGTGGATTTATCTTGAATGGATGGTTACCCAGGAGCAATTCTGTATAAGTGATGTTTGCTGTTCAGGGAGGACCTCAGTAGTACCTAGCCACCACCTTCTTTGGCCTCTTCCCAAAAGTATGATTTTTTTTTCAGGTGTTATGGCTTATGCATATAATCCCAGCACTGGGAGGCTGAAGCAGAAGGATCATAAGTTCCAGGCAGCCTAAAGCAACATCGGAAGACCCATTCTCAAGAAAATCATAAATAAATAAATAAACAAACAAATAAATAAATAGTAAATAAGTAAATAATTTAATTAATTAGTTTGACCTCACTGAGTTAAATCTTCCCATGCCTTTAGGGCTGAGCAGACAGGTAAATAAAAGTACGAAGTGACTAGGATATAGGACCAAGATGCCCAGGACAATGGCTGTCCAAAGTGCTAGGTTTGATAAAAGGTCAGGATGGCCAGTAAAATGTCCAAGAACGAAATGTACAGCTGAAGGCCGTCCAGGTTACTGCTCTAACCATGAAGTCATCTGGAAGGTAGGAATACAAAAGGGGGAAGAGTATAAAGGGCTTCTCACAGCCTATATAGTTTACACAGTGAAAAGTTACAGGAATCGGTTTTCTATAAAACCCACAAGTGATAACATTGGCTCTTCTACTGGCTAGTTTTTTTTTTTAAAAAAGGGTTTATTTTAGGACTGGAGAGATGGCTCAGCAGTTAAGAACACTGACTATTCTTCCAGAAGACCCGGGTTCAAATCCCAGCACCCACATGGCCGCTAACAACTGTCTGTAACTCCAGTTCCAGGGGATCCAACAGCCTCTTCTGTCCTCTGTGGGCATTGCATGACACAGGTGTACTTACCTACATGCAGGCAATACATGCATACACATAAAATAATAAAAAATTAAAAAAAAAAGAAGTACACAAACAGTACAGTGAAACACAGTGGTGTTTACAAGGGAACTAGTGAGAGGCCCCAGAGAGATACTATTTTTATTTTAATATTTTATTTATTTTTATTTTATTTTATTTTTTGGTCTTTTTGAGACAGGGTCTCCCTATAGCCCCAGCTGTCCTGGAACTTACTGTGTAGACCAGGCTGGCCTTGAACTCACAGAGATCCGCCTGCCTCTGCCTCCTGCTTGGATTAAAGGCGTGTGCCACCATGCCCAGCTTATTATTTTTATTTTATGTGCATGCATGTATTGCTTGCATATAGGTAAGTGCACCCATGTTGTACAATGCCTGAGGAGGTCAGAAGAGGCTGTCAGATCCCCTGGAACTGGAGTTACAGACACTTGTTAGCTGCCATGTGGGTGCTGGGATTCGAACCCGGGTCTTCTGAAAGAACAGCCAGTATTCTTAACCACTGAGCCATCTCTCCAGCCCCGAGAGATACTATTAAATGCTCACCTAATACCAATGAGGCCAGAAAGTTTAGATCTTATCTTTGAAAGGAATTGGCACTTGGCCCCTAACAAACCCATACTGGAAGAGGGTTAGTTTACAAAAGAACTATGGGATGAGGATTAATCTGTCAGGTCTGTAATGTGATCACTACAAACCCCTAGTCACAATCTTGGTCTGGCACATGTCGTGGGTGCACCATGGATCCCTCACCTCCCCATACTCACACACTGCTCACTGGTCTCTGGGATGAACTCCCCCTCACTGTTGATGCTGGTATAGGATCCCTGCCGGGCAATGTGCTGTTGCCGCTCAGGTACATAACCAGGGGGAGGAGAACTTCGGCCAGGGTTCTGGGAGCCTAAAAACAGAAACAAGGCATTTAATAACAGCCTGGACATGTGGCACAAAAGGAGTAGACAAAGGGCCAGTTCAAGGTACTAGGCCCTAGAGGTCAGGGATGGAACTCAGATGGAGTCATGCCACCAAAGTCCAGCATGCTCCAGCTGCATGAAGCAAAGTCCCTTCCTAATAAGAAAGAAATTCCAGAGGTGAAGCAGGAGCAGTGTATATGACTGGGAACCTTCACACAAGATGTGAAATTAGAATGAACTATAACATAAATAGGCAGTCAGATCAGCTTTAAAAATATTCTTAGGGCTGGGCGTGGTGGCACAAGCCTTTAATCCCAACACTCGGGAGGCAGAAGCAGGCCGGTCCTTTGTGAGTTCGAGGCCAGCCTGGTCTACAGAGTGAGTTCCGGGCAGCTGGAGCTACAGGGAAACCCTGTCTCAAAAAGACCAAAGGGAAAAAAAAAAGTTCTTAGGGCCAGTGAGGTGGCTCCAATGATAAGGGTGTTTGCTGCTAAGCCTAACAACCTCAGTTCACTCCCTGGGACCCATGTGACAGAAGGAGAGAACTGATTCCTACCAGTTATCCCCTGACCTCCAAAAACATGCTGTGGCATGTTACTATGTATATATACAATAACTTAAAAAACGTTCTTGCAAGGTATTATTCATAATGTCATTTCTCTTGATGTCACATCTTTTTCTTCCTTTAGAGCACCAATGCTACTTCCTCCTATCCAAGGAAGAACCTAGGAAAATGATCAATTCAGTCATTGCTCCATATAATTGGGAGCTGTGTTCTAAGACCTCTAGCAGATGCCCGACACTTCAGACAATGCCAAGCCCTATGGCATGCTGTTCTTTCCTATACATACATATCTATGATAAACCTTTAACTAATTCATTCATTCATTCATTCATTTTTTTGTCTTTTTGAGACAGGGTCTCCTTATAGCCCCAGCTGACCTGGAACTCCCTACCTAGACTAGGCTGGCCTGGAACTCACAGAGATCTGTCTGCCTCTGCCTCCCAGGTGCTGGGATTAAAGGTGTGCACCACCATGACTGGCCATAAAGGTTTAATTACCTGGGCATGGTGGTGCACTCCTGTAATCCCAGTATTCAGAATATAGAGATGGGGGACTGTGAGTTGAAAGCTAGCCTAAGTTATATACCAAGACCCTTAAAAAGGGGGGTGGGGGATGGGAATATAGCTCAGTGGTAGAACATTTGTCTAGCATCCAGTAGACCCTGGGGATTTGATGACACCCAGCACTACACAAAACAAAACTAATAAAATAGAACAATTATAATAAAATATTGTAGCAAAATACCAACATCACTACTTTAAATGCTTTGGGCCATTAGGTAAAATATGGGTCACTTGACTGGAGATGCAGTGATAATGCAATAGTCAATCTGATAACTGGGATGGCCCCTGTGACAAATGGGCAGGTGGAAAACACAGCATCAATGCACTGGACAAAGGTAGGAGTTACATCTCAGGCAGAATGGTATGAGTATCTGTCATTCTTCTCACAAGCAGTACACAATTTAAGACGTATTGTTGGGCAGGAGAGATGGCTCAACAGTTGAGATGGCTCTTGCAAGACGACCAGAGTTCAGTTCCCAGCATCCACATTGGGCAGCTCACAACTGCCTGTAATCTAGCTCCAGGGGATTCAATACAGGACCAGCACATACCCACACACATATACATAATTAAAAATAATAAAATCTTGGAGCTAGAGAGGTGGCTCAGTGGTTAAGAGAACTGGCTGCTCTTACAGAGGACATAGGTTCGGTTCCCAGCAGCAACATGGCAGCTAAAAACAATCCTTAATTCCAGTTCTAGGGGAAATCCAATGCCTTCTTCTGACTTCTATGGGCATTGCACAACATGGGTGTACTTAAATACATGCAGGAAATATACTCATATACACACAAAAAATAAAATTAAACAAATAACAATAAAAATAAAATCTTTTCTAAAATTTCTGGATTTTATCATTTAATATCTTCTGACTGAGCCAGATGCACTGGAGCATGCCTAATGTTAGTTTACCAGCTTAGTCCTCTTGAGCTTTGGATCCCAACAGCCTTTTGAGGCTGGAGTCCAGGAAAAGGTAACTAGATATAGCTGGGCATATTTCTATGCTGCCCTATTCACTTCACTGTCTTCTCTTACCTGTTCTCTACCTGGATCAGATAAGAAGACATTCTGAGCTGGGCATGGTGGCACATACCTGTCATCCCAGCACTCAGAAGAGGAGGTACGACCAAGCCCAGTGAAGACCTTTTAGTCACTGACAGGCTGTCTCTCTTCTTGCCACCCATTCCCATACTTCCTGACTACTGAGTATTATGTGGCACTGAAGCAGTAGTTTACTTTTTGTTGAACATTCACAGTAATTAGCTCATTTTATTCTCAACAACCTGCAAAAGAAACTTGGCAAACACTTTTTAAGTGACTACTATTGGCAGGCACTCAGCAAGCTAAATTTACAATTGTTAATTCACTTAATCTTTTCAACAATCCTGAGATACAAACATTTGCTTTAGTTAACAGAGGAGGACACTGAGACTGAAGGAATTTTATACTTATTTAAAAGGTTATCCCTATTTTACAGGCAAGAGACTATAAAGCCAATTTATACACACACACACACACACACACACACACACACACACACACACTTTTTACAATATCAGTTTATATGATGGAATGTTAAGGATGTAATCATTAACATTGCTTTTTTAAAAAAATCATAAATCTGATCAGATTTCCCTAATCCTAGGCTACAGTTTTTCTGTGTTGTCATGATCAAAAAGGAGACACAGGTGAAGCTAGAAGTTTGCAGCTTTTTCCCTTCCCAAAACAAACCAGAAGAGCCAATCTTTAGAAAGTTTGAGACAATATTAACAGGGCCAGTCAAATGGCTCAGTAGATAAAGGTGCTTGCCACTAAGCCTGACAACCTGAGTTTGATCCCCAGGATAAGAGACATGGTTAAAAGAGAGACTTGAGGGGGCAGGAGAGATGGCTCAGCAGTTAAGAACCCTTGTTGTTCTTCCAGAGGACCAGGTTTGATTCCTAGGCCCCACATGGCCTCCAACAAGCATACGTAACTCCAGTTCCAGGGGATCTGATACCGTCTTCTGGCCTCTGCAGGGCATTGCACATATGTGGTATACTTATGCACACAGGTGAAACACTCACATACATAAAAATTCTCTGACCTCCACATGTGAGCTCTGGCATGTGTGTGGTTCACACCCCGCATAAATAAGTAAAATTTAAAAAGTATTAACAATATAGCTATGGGGCTGGCTGGAAGGCTCAGCAGGAAAGGATGCTTGCCACCAGTCCTGATAAAGTAAATTCAATCCCTGGGACCTACATGGTAGAAGGAGAGAACTGACTACAGCAGGTTGTCCTTTGATCTCCACATGTGCTCTCTGTGACATGTGTGTACCCAGTCACGCACACATACAGATAAATGAACGTAACAGCAACCAATAGCTGGGTGTGGTGGCACACGCCTTCAATCCCATCCCAGCAGAGGAGGCAGAGGCAGGCAGTTCTTTGTGAATTCCAGGCCAGTTTGGGCTCAAAAAGGACACACACAAAAAAACAAAAACAAAAAGCAAAACAACAAAAAAACAAACCCCACAACAACAACCAATATAGCTAAGCTAAACAAATATTTCTAGTGGTTCAAACACTTAAATACAGGCTTCTTATCCAAAGTCCTTTTTCTGCTCTGGGGGAACATATGTGACCCAACATGAAGAAAACCAAAAGTATAACACCCCTTTACTCTTACCTTACAGTCTACTTCTCCCCTAAAACTCAGAAATTCCCAGACACCAGAAATGCAAAGTACCATGCCTTAAAGCACACTACTTTCCTCACTGGCTGGTTTTACCAGTCTAGTTCAGGCCTATTAATACTAGGCTTTCTAAAACAGAACTATAGGCAAAATGTTCTGTGGGAATGACTAAGAAAGAACAAGTTTGGTAGCTGGAGATTTGGGGAACATTCTCCTCCACTGGAAGATGGAAACAGCCAACATCAATTCCCCTCTTTCCTTACAGAAATCAGTTTCAGAAGGATACATGCAGTTTTTGTTTTGTGTATAGAGCACTCAGCCTATACTCAGAAAGGACAGGTGGTAGGCACATCTACTGAAGAGGCTGTGGAAGAGCCCAACTGAGGCTCTTTCAACACCTCAAGAGAAATTGGGGATAAACAAATTAATGGGCCTCAACAAAACTCCCCAAGCCAGGCAGTGCCTTCTACACCAAGAAGGGCCAAGAAAAGGAAGAATACCGAACAGAAAAAAATGGTGCTACAAGCTATTTTTTGAAAAACAGATTTGGGTTGTCATTTTTTCAAAAAGGGCCTCACATTCCAGGGTAGTCTTGAGCTCTTCATTCTCCTGCCTCCATACCTGAGTGGTGGGAGTACAGGAGTTTAACACTATGGCTAATGGTTGAAGGACAGCTTCCAAGGAGTTTAAGTTATTGTCAATGTCTCCAGAAGACTGAGTCCTTCACTCTTCCAACACGAAGTCAATTGCTGAGAACATATAGCTCATCTAGTTGTGCAAAAGACATCTAATGAATCCACCACCAAGAACATTTCTGATTGCTTCTTGGAGGCATCAATCCAAGGACATGGTCTTAGGTGGGAAGGCTGGCATGGACCCCTAGCAATTCTCCCTAACTTCAGAGCAGAGGATATAAACAAAATTGTTCTGAAAATAGGCATCAAAGTTTGCTGGGTTTCCTGTCTCAACATCTCACTCACAGGGTGAAGGCTACCAATTCCGAAGTGAACCAGTATCTGAGCCATGTTATTCAAATGATCTCAACAGCCCATAGAAGATAGTCTACCCAGGTATTGTTAAGCCCTGGCAGAAACTGAAGCTTCTCTGAGTATAAATTTAGGGATATTTTGCTGTGAAGTAACAGAGCAATTAAATCAGTCAAGGAGATTTCCCTTCTCTT